CCACCCAGCTACGGTACACCGAATGAGACTCAACTATACCAACAAAAAATTAACAAAACCCCTATTGCGCTATCAGAATCCGATAAAAAATTTGAACATTTCACAAAGGTTTTCCGCATTATGATCCGTTTTCCATATTACCATTAAGTGAAATAACTATATACGCCCCCTAATTTGCGGGCTATTGCAACACCCAGGTAAAATGTGATAAAATGTGATGCAATTGGAATGTAAACATCAATCGCAAACATATAAAAATTAGGTATTTTAAACGCACAATTAACCATTAACAAAACACTGCAGATGCATGTTACAACTAAATAGTCAATGATGACCGAATACAATGCAAATTTTGAAAATAATAGTCCGATAAAACGATACGAATCGCGCGAAATACGTCTAGATACGTCAGCGACCGGCACGAAACTGGCTGCAATCCATCGATAGCGCAAGCAACGATGCGACAGTTCCCTATAAGGCAATGTGCCTGCAGCATGGACCCCGCAGGTAAAAGCAATATATGCGCAAAGCGGCCCGCCGTTACCTGCGATCACAACTAAACTATGACGTGACAACGTGCAGCGTGAAGCGATGGCAAAGCAACAGACGGGCATTCGATAAGAAAGTGTAAATTGTGTTAAAAACAAACACAATTTTGGTATCAAATGCCCATGTTTGCTAATAAATATAGAAATAAAGAATACAATTCTATTTTATGATGTTTAGTTCAGGTAAGTACCATCTCTGAATGCTACAGATAGTAGTCCCGGAATTAAAATTCTTAAAGCGTATCAAAAATTAAAATTCGAGTTGTTTTCATAGGGTAAAGGGCAAAAAAACGTGACTAAAAAGTGTAATTTTTCTTTTTCTACCCAATTCATTCAATTTCGAATATATCGTAAACTAAAAGCGGTAGTAAGTAATATTAATCTACGAGAAATTCTCTGTAAGACAAAGTATTTAAATATTGCAAGATGTGCTTCAGCAAAGCAAACAAGGTCGCAACAATTCATGATAAGACTACCTACGCGATTTGCAATAGACACGATACCTAAACTAGAATATGCTGCATGCAGCAAGTTGATGCGGCGTGAGAAGACGGCGCGCGGGACACATGCGATAAATAGTTGTTTATATCGAATCGCTGATAACAGCACTATACAAAATTATTCTCGTGGCCACGTTTGTCAATAAATATAAAATAAGTCATATAACACGATTTTATGATTTTCAGTTCATCCTAGTGCCATCTATGAATGCTACAGATAGTAGTCCCGGAATATGGCAACATCAAAATAAAAACTTAAAATTTTCAAATTTAATGTTTCTGTGCAAAATGTGAATTTTATCAAATTGCGGGAAAACTTTAAAGTTTGAATTTACAAATTTAATTTTTCTGTGGAAAATGGGACCTCACATTTGATCAAATTGCAGGAAAACAACAAGTCCAAGAATAAAATCTTATGAAAATAAAATGCTCAGGGAGACCTTCTATAACAACTTCCAAAATAAAACCTTTAAATTTCCAAATTTAATTTTTCTGTGGAAAATGGGTCTTTACATTTTATTAAATTTCGGGAAAACTATTAGTTCAAGAGTAAAGTTTTACTAAAATAAAATTCTCAAGAGGATTTATTATGGCAACATTCAAAATAAAAACAAATTTTCAAATTTAATTTTTCTCCGGAAAATGTAAGTTCATATTTACTCAAATTAGGGAATTTAATTTAATTAATATTTTAATTTAAAGCTGTGCGTCCTAGAGTAAAATTTTACTCTGATAAAGTGTTCAGAGCGACGTTTTTTTCCATTTAACTTTCATTCATTCATTCTCTAATTTCAGGAAAATCGTAAAATCGAAAAATAGATACTATGAAGAATGAAAAATTTCACTCACCAGTGTATCGAACACCGTAAATCAAATTCGAGTAGATACTGAAATAAACAAGAAACAAAACATTAATTATACATTTTCTGACAATGTTGAAATGAATCCAAGTTCTGGAGAAACCCAAATTATGCCTTAAAAATTGTCTTATTTTCCATAATTATTTAAATAATAATATTTACCAGATAGAACAGCCGCCCGTCGTGTTCTGCTGAAGACAAAAATGGTTCGCACAACTTCAAAATATTATTTACAATCACACAACATGGCCGACTGGCGTCCGACGGCAAGCGAAGCTAGAAACACGCGAAACTGCAATAAACACACAAAACATTGAATTCCGAAGATTACACACGCGATAAATATATAGCGACTAAAACCCGTCTATTAACACTAAATTCCAGCAAATATAACGCGATATAACGAATTTACAACACGAAACACGAATATCCATTTAAGTATTAGTACTTATCGCACGAAGTAAGAGTTGTGTGCCGGCCACACTAGAACTGGGCACGCCGACTTTCACTTGCAGGAATATTTTTAGCGAAAACATGTATTATTGCGCCATTTGAGGTTACTTTTGAGTACCTCAAGAAAACACAAAGTGTATCAAAAAGTGTGGCGTGCATATGAGGCAGTGAGGGGTTGGCTATGTGTCAGTGTACGGTCACGCACTCAAATGGCAGTGCCCGTGTGTTACACGTATACGCAACTGCGCATGCACCATCCTATCTAAACGAATAGCAATTTTTATACATAACTCACCGCTTCGAATGAAGATGTCGCTAGAATGTGTTAATTCAAAATTAATGAACTAAATTTGGCAATTTTAATGCAAATATTCATTAATTTAGCAATAAATAAACATAATACACTGCATAAATAGTCAATGAAAGTATATATTCGTCATAAAATCACATATTTTCTTTAAAATTGCATCAAATCTCTTCAAAACTACAAAAAAGCATAAAAACATTCAAATTTTACTTCTTTAGTAATTTACTCTTGAAATTAAATACCTATATCATTTTGGTTAATAAAAATCGTCTAAATATTCATTAATTCATATTATTTTCCGTCGGAAACTACCTATATCAGGTCATATCCACCGCAACATTCATACGTGCCTGAATGCCTGAATCAAGTCATTTCTACCGCCACCTTTATACGGTGCCCTGAATCGAGTCACTTCTACCGCTAACATCACACAGTGCCCTGAATCAGGTCACTTCTACCGCTACCTTCATACGGTGCCCTAAACACTAGTTACTTCAACCGCTAACAAATACAACTCGACGGAGAACTTAATTCCGCATCTTTCGAGGCCGAGCTGAATTTACTGAGCTGCCAAGATCGCGTACAAACCCGAAAAATACAAATATTTTCTGAAAAAAGGTGACAAAGCGATAATTCACCTTTTTATGCAAATTTTCGCGGGTTGCAGGTCGAATTACTGCAACAGACAAGTACAACCCGACGGAGAATTTAATTCTACATCTCTAGATGCCCGCTAAAGTTTGCGCGCAGCCCGTTCGAAATGCATTAATGCGCAATTATTAAAAGATGTACCTATGTATGTATTACGAACATGAGTGTATAAAAGAAGCAAGTAATGATACCTTACCTGTATTTTATGCGTTGCAACAGTTCGACAAGGGCTGACGATGATAATAGTCTGCGAAATAAATTACATTGTTAATTACATTGTTGTTAATTGTCTCTCTAACTTTAACATTACGTTGAGAAACTTCAACAAAATAAAGGTAAAGGTACGGGTGGGAAGTACGAAGGGTATGCATGGTGTTGAGAAACTCCTAACTCTCTTCTGACGTGGAGAATCTAGAAGAAGGTCAATTTGTTTACGAGATACTGAATGTTTTTCACACCATGTTTTCAAATTTTCATAAAATTGCCAACTTTTGAAGTTCATTTCAGAACACTTTCAAAGGGTCTAAATCAGTGGTTCCTAACCTTTTCAATGTCACTACCCCTGTGAACAAGTATGGGACTTGAGTTTACCCCTAGCTAAAATAATTAAAACCACATAAATTTGTACAAAAATTTGTTTATTATGTAAGAAATTACACATTTTCGTAACAGTAATATATAAATCTCGGAGTCTAGTGTGAAGGTTGAAATTGCTTTGCATTCGCAAGTTTGACAATATTTGGTTCGGTTTCACTCAACGCGCATCTCATGTCATGCTCAACATTCAGACGGTTTCTGGCTTTTTGTTTTAATGTGACAAGAGTTGAGAAACCCGTTTCACATCTGTATGTTGTAGCAAATGGAATCAACATTTTTAAAGCTCTGTCAGCTATAATAGGATATTCTGCAGCTACTTTTCGCCAAAATGTGCAGAGTTTATCATTTTGGAAGTCAACTTTTAATGAATTATTCTCATGCAGTCCGAGAAACTCTACTTTCCCAGACACATCTTCGTCCTTGAAAATATCAACGCAAGTAGAAAATGGTCTTAAAATCCAGGAGTAGGATTCACGACTGTCCATGTTTGGAAAATATTGCTGCAGTGAGTCTATCACGGCAGTTAAATGTTCAACCACGGAATTCTCAAACGTGATTTTGTCTTGTTTAATATTTCCTAATTGCTCACTTAGGTGTGAAAACATTGATACATCACCAGCTTGGACTCTACGTAATAGACTAATAGACTCTAAATAATAGCGCCGCGAAACTTGGGGAAAATATATTAGTTCAGAAGATACAGGTACGATTTTCGTACGTGTATCCCTTGAACGCATTATCTTGAACTCTTAAAGGGGAGCAGGGTTACCGAGGTTCCTAGCTAGTATCTATATTATGCTATAATGCAGGTAAATAAGCATAGATACGAGAATATTTAGCGATATAGATTTTATTCGATAAAATTGAGTTGACTCCAGTAATGAATTGTTAAGGCACTTACGTGATGAAACTCCATAATTATCGACGAATGAAAGAATAAAACTTAAGGGTTTCACAAAACTTATTACACGCTGCAACATGTTGTGGCACACTGTGTGAAATATGATCGTCCACCAAAGTTTAACAATCAGCCGGTCGGCAATGTTGCCAGCTGAAGATTTCGAGTATAAGTTCAAATATCATGTTTGATGTATATGCAACTAAGAGCACACTTACAATATAAAAAAAATTAAGGGTTAGAATCACTGAAAAATAACAAACGTTTGCTAAACAAGTTTTATAAAACTAACTACAAAGTTGTTTTGCCCACAAATAACAAATAGAATGGATGAAAATAATCCCATTCCTGCATTTAAAAAACCAGTGTTAATTGGTAAAGTCGGAAAGCTTCCAAAACAAGTACAAGTTCAAAAATCTGAACAAACTGTGAACATAAATAAACCAGATGAAACTACTGAACTTACAAATGTTTCAATTAATGAAAATACTGTAGAGAAATTTGAACGTCCTCCGGAACCTCCGGCTCAAGAGCCAAGCCAAAAAAGGTAGTCAACTGAATTACACTGAACCTGAATGGTCAGGAACACCCAGTGAAGATTCACATTATGGACTGGAAATATTAAAACAAGGTTCTATCATAGGAAGCCACAGTTTACAAGATAAAAGTTACTGGATTTTTGGTAGATTACCTCAATGTGATCTATCCATGGCCCATCCAACTATATCAAGGTACATACATATTAAAATGCTATTAAGAGACTCTTCATTTAACTACAATTTTCTTATAACACATTATTTTATATAAATTTTGTAGATATCATGCAATACTTCAGTACAGAAAAGAAGACTCAGAAAAGGAGAAGAAGGGCTATTATTTATATGATTTGGGTAGTACACATGGAACATTTTTAAATAAACTCCGGTTGAAACCAAAGAAATATGTCAGAGTTCAGGTATGTAATTCCAAAGATTCTAATGATCACCACTTAGATTTTGATTGATTGTCTTCAAAGTCTCCATTGATTTAGCATAGAATTCATCTGCTTGTTTTGATCTTTGATTGGACTTTTTCACTTTTGAGTCTAGCAACTCCAATTGAGCTTTCAACTGATTCATTTCTTCTTCAATTTCCTCATTGCTCTTTTTCATAAGCTCTTCGTAGTCTTCTACGGAATTCAATTCGCCGAATTTTGTGTCGCTTCTTCTGTCTTTAATATTATCCATATCTTTTCTGGCTTTATTTAAATATGCAGTGCTTTCTGCTAGTTTAATTTTTAGTTGGTCAAAGTAGTCATTAGCACGTTGCGATCGAAGTTTTTCTTCTTTTTTCATTGCTTTAGTTTTTTCAATAAGAGATACTATTTTGTCAAAGTTGTAATCCTTGGGTTCCTCTTCTTCTGTTGCCTCAAGGAGGTCGTTGAGTACTTTAATTTGCTTTTTCTCGCCCATTTTAATGAATTCTTGCTTGGTACAGCACCTCCAAATAATAAAACTTCAAAACCTAAATGAAACAGGTTTTTAAATGAATTTGTTTGCTCAATATCACCATGACAACGTCTACACACATTTGTTTTTATTTTCAGGTGGGTCACATGATTAAGTTGGGTTGCAGTTCACGTTCCTATATACTAGTTGGTCCAGATGAGGACCAAGAAGAGGAATCTGAGTTGACAATCACAGAGATGAAACAAAAACGTCAGGAGGAACTTGCAAGACGAGAGGCGCTCGTGAAGGAAGCAGAGATTAAAGCGGAAGAGGAACGCATCGCCAGAGAGAAGCGTGAAGAAGAGCGAGGTGTTGATTGGGGAATGGGGGAAGATGCAGATGTTGAAACTGATTTAACTGAAAATCCCTATGCACAAACGAACAATGAAGATTTATACATCGATGATCCGAAGAAAGCCTTGCGAGGTTTTATGGAGCGAGAAGGTGCCGAATTTGAGTACGATTGCACAGAGCAGGGAATTGGACAATTTCTATGCAAAGTAGTCCTGCCAATTGATGATGAGCGGGGGCGGCCCATTGTCGCCGAGGTTCTACACAAGGGCAAGAAGAAGGAAGCAGTTGCACAGTGTGCTCTCGAGGCTTGTCGAATTTTAGATCGTCATGGCGTCCTACGTCAAGCTACACATGGTACGTACATATTTCTACATTAATCATCATATTTGATAAATTATAATTAATTTTTGTTTTCTTAGAAAGTAAAAAACGCAAAGCGAAGAATTGGCAAGACAACGATTTCTACGACAGCGACGATGACACCTTTCTGGATCGCACTGGAACAATTGAACGCAAACGAGAGAATCGTATGAAACAGAAACAACCCCAACAGGCTGAAACCTATCAAAGTTTGTTGGATAAAGAAAAGTCTATGTCCGAGCGAATAAACAGCATCCAACGTGAATTAACAGCTTCCCAATCAGCAACGCAAAGCGTCACAGAGGAGGTAGATTCACTGGAGTCGTTCATGGCCGAGTTGAAACAACCGAAACTAGATAAGGAAAAGATGATGCAATTGAAAACTGAACTAGTGCGGTTAAAACAAGATCACGCGCAAGTTATCAAGCTGGTTAATATTGCTCGACCCGCCGACCTGCCACCTTTGACTACGCAATACGACTCACAGGCGACAAAAACACAAAATAAGTCAAAGTTTCCTATGTTTGGTAAACGCTTAAAAGTAAAGGTGGCAATACCTAAGGAGAAAGCAGTAGAAAAACCAGTTGATGATAATGATGAACAGGATGACAATTATGATGTGAAAAACCCGATTGAAGAGAAAATGGAGGTTGTTGAAAGTCTAGTTGAGGCGGAAAGTACAAATAAGAAAGCATTTATTATTGAAAATGAAAATACAAAATTAAGTGAAGAGAAAAGAGAGACAATAGTTATGAAATTTAATAATTCAACTAGCAAATTAACGAAAAATACAGTATCTGAGACAAAAGACAAAGATGTTGATGTTTCAAATAGCATACAAAGCAAAACAGAGGATTCAGAGAGTAAACGAAAAAAGAATCAACGACGAATCGCACAACGCGAAGAAAAACTCGAGAAGGAAAAACAGCGAGGTTACGCCGAAGACTTGCGAAAAGAGGATTACAACATGTGGGTACCGCCAGAAGACCAAACCGGAGACGGAAAAACTTCTCTTAACGATAAATACGGTTATTGATGGATTTATTTTCTATTGTAAGAATGTAAGTCTGTGATTTTTATTATGTGAATATATTCAATCTTATTCAATTTTATTCATATAAAGTTATTTTAATTATATGAATTTTGAATTGAAAAGTTACTTCCTCAGGCTTTCCAATTTGCATTTGCATGAATCATAACTTTAATAGCATTCATTTCGGGTGTCATCGCAGTTTGAAAAGCTTTCTCCGTCTCCTCAATTTTGTAATGGTGTGTTACCAATGGGCGTACGTTTACCTTTCCAGTTGCAATCAATTCCAATGCAGTTGGATAGCAATTGACATACCTGAAAACTCCTCTGATGTCAACTTCCCTTACCAATGCGTTGCACAGCGGTAATGTCATTTCGGCGGCGCCCATGCCGATGAGAAGTGCTACACCTCCACTACGAGTAGCTTTGATTGCAACTCGCACGGATTGCTCGGCACCGCTGCAGTCCATGGAGACATCAGGTTCGCAACCGAGGGAATCAACGATTTTCTTGATCAAATCCTCATCGGAATCACCTTTGTTGACCAGAATTGTATGGTCTGCACCCAGTTGCTTCGCCAATTCCAAGCGTTTTGATGAAATGTCCGTGATGATTACTTTAGAAGCCCCGAAAGCTTTGGCTGATAGAAGAGTGACCAAACCAATTGGTCCTGCGCCAAGAACTAGCACTCTAGACCCGACTTTAATATTAGCACGTTTGCAGCCGTGTACACCCACTGACAGTGGCTCCAGCATGGCACCTTCTTCCAATGTTACATTGTCAGGAAGTCTAGATTTTTAGATAAGTTTTTAAAATGTGAATCATATGTTTAAAAAATGCTTACTTAAAACAGAAATCCGCTGGGTGGGCGTAATATCGCATTAAATTACCATCAACTGGTGGTGTGGCACAGAAAATCATATCAGGGCACAAGTTGTACCTGCCTTCTTTGCAATAGTTGCACTTCCTGCAGCTGTAGCCTGGTTCAATGGCGACTCTATCTCCTATAACATTAGAAATAATACTGAATAAAAATCATTTCAAAAAATGAAAAACCAACCCTTTTGCAGATGTTTTACATTTTTGCCCACAGAAACAACTGTTCCTGAGGCTTCATGACCAATTATCATAGGTTTCTCAACAATAAAATTCCCAATTCTGCCCTTAGTTAAGTAATGAACATCTGAACCACAAATACCAACAGCACCCATTTCCAAGAGGACATCTGAAAACACAAAGTAGAAAACATTTTTTAATACCTAAAAGTTTATTTTTGAATGGATTGGAGGTTATTATTACCATCATCTTTTATTGTTGGAATTGGCCTTTGTTCCTATAAATAATATAAATTAAATATAATAATTTAAAATGGTTCATTATTACCAGTCTGATATCATTGATACCATAAAGGACTGCTGTGAGATTATCTTTCCCCGCCATTTTTTCTGTACAACGCCAACTTGACTACAACTTGGTGTAACGAGCACTTGTCGATGAATAAATAGAACTTAACAAGATAATTGTTTTGAACTCACAACATGAATTAGGGAGTGATAAAAAAATCAAAGCTTGCTTACATAATATTTGCATTCAATATTTACGTACGAGATATGAGAGTGTTGAAAATATTTGTGTGCTGTGTTATGGCTGTTATGTGATTGTTATCATCAGTTTGGTATTTTATGGTTTTGAATTACGTAAACCGTTTTTGCCTAGCCTAGTCACGTATGCAGCTCATTTCCATATTGCGTAATTTACATTATTATCTTCAAAGTCGCATTAAGGGCGCTCTACATATAAGTCGTCAAATTAGCATTTTATTACAAGACTATTGTGTTTCTTTTATTGTTATTTAATTATGTGTTTAGAGAAAGAATTATTACGTTTTAAGATTCTGTGATTTTCTTGTTGTTTGTGTTTACATGTAAATACCTTTCAAGATCCACATTTGTTTTATCAAAAAGAAAGTTTGGTGCGCTGTAATGTCTATACTAATATCTAAAACTTAGTAAAAACACAAAATTAGTCTGACAAGAATATGTTACTAAAATAAAGTAATCATATAGACACATGCTTTCAATATTTTGTAATAAAAAGCTTACAATTTCAATTTTAATTTTTGACGTAAGAAATCATAGAGAAAATTCAAAATCCAGTTTATTGCACTTTTCTTGAAAACCACTGAATTTAAAGAAAAATGGTTTTCAGATTCGTATTTAGGACAAAATTTTACATCAATTAACATTTAAAAATATTAATTTTTCTACAATTATGTAATAAATGAAAATGGCCAATAACTTGAAAACAAATTGCGTCATCAAAACCAAACCAAGATTTATGGATTCCTTGCATCATTCCACATCTAGTTTGAAAGTTTCGTGAAAATCGGAGAGGTGGTCTAATTTGGTCAGTTTAGATTTTCACTAGTTATTTTTGAAAAAATCGTGTTATCAAAAAACTCATTAGATATCTTTAATTGCCTTGTAATTCTCTATCGATTGGCGTTTTCCATTTTCTTCTACCGTAAAAAATAATTTTTGAGCCTAGAAAGAGTCAAGTGTAACCTCTTGATGATTTTCAGCAGTTTTTAATCAACTTTTAAAAATGAAAAAACTAAATCTGCCATTTTATAGATCCATATCATGACATGAAGAAATTGAAGAAAATTATTTTCCAACTTTATAATTTTCCGAGATAATCGGGTCGGAAAATTTGTCTTACACACTTTCTATTTGAAAATTTGAAAATATTATTGTATGTAGAATTCTTTGCTGAATACAAAACCGTTATTTGTTTTTGTGTACCTTTATTAGTTTCTGAGCTAATTAATAACCAAGTATAGCCGGAGGTACACGTTTCACTAAAAGACAGAGCTACTCAGCTAAGCATAAAAGCTATTAAGTAAAAAGTTTAGCCAAGAAGGAAATTGAAAGCCACTCTATACATTAGTATTATCAGCTTTAAATAATTAGTAAAACCACACACTAAAATGCCAGGCGCCTCCGCCAATAAATATGACTTTCGGGTTAAAAAATAAAAGTTGATAATTTTATCGTTGATTACAAAAGATAATATAGATACACATCAATTATCTTAGTAAAATTTTCCTTTATCTTTTTTGTTTTAAGAGTTATTAAAGTTTGAATTGCAGTATCGAGGATGTCAGGACGAGAATTAATAATTAATTATAATCTGATTATAATATGTGGGTAGAATCTTGATTCAGTCATCAGGATTTTATAATATCAATTTTTAACTTTCTTGAAGGTTTTGACTAAAATTAATTTAAAAAAAGTTCGTACCGGACCAGGCAAAATAAATTTTCAGGAAAAATATCGACCCTGCCCTTCAACCACAATAAAAACACATTAGGACATTTTTGACAAAAGAAGTAAAATATTGAAAGCAAATTATCATATTGATTCTTTCTGCGTTTTGAAGTACTTCCTTGGCATTTAGGAGATGAAAAATTATAAGGAAACGGTACGAGGTCTCCTTACCTATAAAATGACGTAGAGAAAGCGAATATTACATCATTAGCAGAGGATATTCGGAAAAAATAGTAATGTTTGCTGGTACTAAACAGTTCCTTAAGAATAATGAAAATTTAAAATCTTGTTTAAGTGATATTGATTACTTTTAAGTCAGCGTTTACTTAGATACAATGGTTAACAGTTATAAACTATTTTAAGTAGCAAAATACTCTAATCACTGTCAGAACCAGAGCCAGACCCAGATCGTGATCCTGAACGAGAACGCGATCTAGACCTTGATCTGCTTCCAGATTTTGAACGTGATCTCGACCGAGACACAGATCTGGATCTAGACCTCGATTGCGATCTCGATCCTGAACGTGATCTTGACTTCGAATGGGAACGCGATCTGGACCCAGAACGCGACCTGCTACCAGACTTTGACCGAGATCTGGACCTCGAAACAGATCGCGACTTGGAGCCAGATTTCGACCTAGAACGTGAGCGGGATTGCGACCTGGACCTGGATCCAGACTTAGACCTAGAGCGAGAACGGGATTTAGAGCGTGATCTGCCTGAAGACCTAGACGACGCCCGAGATCGTTCTCCGTCACTCTCATTGTCTGATTGTGACTTATCTTTTGCGCTCTCCGATTCACCACCGCTTTCATCGTCCTGTGCATTTATCTGAGCATCTTCTTCCGCACCTAAGTCTAACTCTTCATCATCTTCACCGGGCGGTTCAAGCTGCTTCTCCCTGTAGCGTTGCATACGGAACTCCTGTGGCTCCATCGTACGATGCTGCACCACCAGTCTGGTGTTAGTTGTGTTGTGTCTTGGCGTTTCGCCGAGTTTCTGTCGTCTCTTACTCAATCGCACGCGTGTTTCAAGTTCATTGTAATAGACAGCGTCGTCACGCACTACCAGGTAATAGTTTTCTTCGTAACCCTTGCTGGCTTTACTCTTCACGTTCCAGTTGTACTCGCGAGCCATCTTATACTCATATTCTTGTTCATCTTCATACTCTACATTATTAGCTGCGTCATACCGCCTCTTCTCCAAGGTCTCCTCTGTTGGTAAGAAGTAAGCAACAAATTGCTCGCCGCTTTCATCCATCACACCACGAATCATCGCCTGAGACATTTCTTCAATTTGTGCGGGTACTTGCTTGCCAACCGGAGCTGGATCCGAATCGAAAATAACCTGGGCACATGGATATTTCCACAGTTTAAAGTCGGGGAAGACATCCATTACTTCAATAGGCACCACATTTGGTTTGCTGTAGTGTTTCTCAATGGGAATCTTGCAGTCTTCAAATGTTTTCTCAATAGCTTTAATCTGTGAATCCCTGTCCATATAAAGTGTCTCATTCTTGAGGTTCTTTTTGATACTGTAACCAACTTTAGCTTCCACTTTGTCCATAGTTTGAGGCTGGAAGCGCGTCTGTTCAGTAGAGATATATTCTGTCCTTCTAAGCCAAGACACAGATCTGGCATGATGTCTGGATCTTTTGGAGTCTTGTGGTGCAAGAACATCTTCTTCCAGTAATTTTTCATCTGCTGGATCTAAAGTGGCACCCACCTCACAAGCATAGATATCTTTGTTGATTAAGTCAATATGTACACCAAGGTCATGTTCAGTTAAGATTTCATAGCGATAATTTCTTTCCAAGGATGTTGGATTATATTGGATGAACCTCAAATTAAAAACAATGAACATTAGAAAAAAATAACAGTTTAGACATGCACTGCTTACCTGGTTGATTCAAAAGGATATGAGATAAACTTTAAGTCAAACGGAATATCAGGTAAAGTATTGCAGTATTTCACTTTTATGGCCAACTCAGATCTGAAAAAGTTTTGTATTAGTTTTATGTGCAATATATAGGAATGATATATTATACCTTCGTTCTGCGGGTTTCACCGGCCGCTTTTCAGCGGTATTAGCGCCGTTCTGTATCGTTGGCGGCATGGTAATTCGAACCCACGAATTATCTATAAAATAGTTCTTGAGGAGCTCGAAATGTAAATTGATTACAAACCAGCCACAAACAAAAAAGTAAGGTTATGTGTTTAGGGTCCCTAGATCACCAAGTATTGCTTGCATTTACAATATTTAAACTTATTTCAACATTTTTAATGATTTCAAGTTAAAAACAAAATAAATTATAACTTAACTTAAATTTTAAGTTTCGTTTAGTTCAATCAGTTTTGCTCTTTTGCTTTTTACACATACATGTATATAACATTTTGAACGTTTTATATGCACTGAAAGTTATAATACCAACAATTGCAAAAACAAATCCAATAACGTCTAAATAATAAAACTGCCATGCAGGAATTTTAGGTCCTTGCAGATGTTTGGCTCCTTTATGTCTTAAAACGTACTCAGTCCACCACACCGCTTTATCCAACGGTTTCATTGGTTGATCAGCAACAATATCAGCCACTTTACCGATTCTTTCTCTGAATTGTTCGTTAAGCATCACTTCAAGAAGCGCTTGCTTAAATTGTTCTGCAGTTAACGTATGATGATCAAGACATAATCCTAAGCCTTTCTGTTCCAAGCGCTTAGCATTGGCTTCCTGATCGCCAAAGTACGGTATTGCTATCATTGGAACTCTGGCATACAAGGCTTCTTCCAGAGATTGTACACCAGCTTGCGTGATGAATACTTTAACATTCTTATGTCTGAGAACATCCTGTTGAGGAACCCATTTTGAAATTTTTACATTGCTAGGTTTGTCGGGCATTTCGTCATCTTCGAATTTCCAAAGCACTTTGTACTTGGTAAGTTGACTGAACGCCTCAATAATAGCTTTACGCGTTGCTGGACTTATGTTTTTAGACTTTACGTTCGATCCTAGACTAAAGTAGATTGCGCCATCAGTTGCGGAATCCAAGAAGTCTCGAAGATCCTAAAGTATAACATATTTACTATTAATATATTAAAAATGATTAAATTTGTGATTTTTATATACCTTTGGAAGAGGCTTTGGTGTTGTTTGGTGCAAACCTCCAGAAAGAGAAATCGTTGCAGGAGTAAATGGCCTTACAGCGCCAAACAATGGATTGGAATTTGTGAACAACATATCAAAGTCCAAAGCTACTTCCGTTGGATACGGAAATTCTTCTTCTAAAGATGCCGACAGTATTTAATGCATTCTTGGTACAATATAGTAATCCACATAAGCAGTCATCATTGTCATAGAAGTTAATGCCATCATCCGTTCGAAAAAATTCAAAGGCTCACTAAAGGGAAGCATATAATATGGGTACAAAATCTGATGTGTGGGGTTGCCCATCGCTGCGTGGGTTTCATGATAAGCATCCAAAGATGTCAGACAAATCGTAGGAGCCTTGAATCGATGCATGAACGTGTAAGAGCCGACGAAAACACATTCCAACATTAGCAAATCATATTTCAGTGTTTTATCCTTAAAGAGATCTTTTATTCCCTTGTGTGAGTAAACCACCTCTGTGATCTTGAATTGCACCTCATTGATCATCTGAAACGCGGTAATCTTGTCTGTTTCCAGGAACGTTGACATCAAATCTTTACTTAAATTCGTCTGGTGCTCATATGCGATGCTGATATCAACTTGGCGAAGATTTGTGTTGTTGAAATCTTTGATCAGGTCGGTGGTAACCAGCGTTACCTCGTGCCCTCGCACAGCCAGTTCCTTCCATAGTGGTTGGTAAAACACTTGATGACTAAAAGACGCGGTTGGAATCACGGCGAGGATTTTGGCCGCATCAGTGGTATACAAGAGCAGTAAACAAGTGAAGAGTATTCTGATCATGGTTACACCCAGTAAACAATTTATTGAACTGAAGTGTATTACATACTAGAATTATGTCTGATTTCTTTATCAATGTTATCAGATGGAACTTAATCTATGACATAAGACGATTGAGACGATAAGCTATATTTACAACATGTTTCCAATCAAGGGTCAATCAAACTACAGCAGGTAACAATATAATACTTAAAACTTACATTTGTTTGGTAAATTCACTATGAATAACACGAGAACAATTGTAAAACAGGCGGTGTTTTCACTCTAGGTAAACACACAACTATGAAACACATGATGTTGTAAAAATAGGTAGGAAAGGAAGGAATTGGAAGGAGTGATTCTGTTATATTTTTACAACACATCGGTTCGACCTTCGCACGTTGTACACATGGAATAACCAACACCTTACATAAATAAAGGAACACGCAGCAACATCTACATGAATTTTTCTCAAACTAGCAACTTGATTGAAAACTACGCTGTTAAATCGATCATGCATTAGAGTGCGCCAACCGGCCTGAAACAAAATATCGCAACTGACGAGGGAGTTAAAATATTTATTTAAGGATTTCTAAAATATAAAGACCAAAATTGTACTAAAACTGAAAGTAGCAGTAACCTAGAGTGTCTTTAACATTAAAAATAACTGAACCAGAGAATAATTGAAGGACAAACTCAAATTTTACAAAATTTTATTTTATTTACCATAAATTACATTGGTTTGTAATAAATATTACTTTTTCATATTCTGAAATTCTGGATAGGAAACAAAAAATCCAATTTACATGTATTAATAACTGATTTATTTTTAAAATGTACAATATTAAGTAAATAGAAAATGTATACATATCATTCATTTCAATTATTTCGAACAGTGGTCGAGAGTGGATGAAATCAAAGTGTTACAGGCAAAAACAATAATCGACGTCAGTTACACCGAATGCAATCTCTTATCGAATAGTTACGTCACGGAATATTCATTGATTCATTGGCAAATGGAAAGTTGGTTTGGTGTAAATATATAGTGCCCCGCAGGTCGGTAAACGTTTCATTAAAAGTGCAAATATATATAGGTATATATGTATGTCTTAATTATAATTCGTTTTAGTTGATCAATATTGTTAGAGCTAGGCGTTACAAGTTAATTGTTTCAATTCGATAAGAAAATAAAGACATTTGGTAGTACATTGTTAAACATTGATTAAAACTTTTCATCAGTATTTCATCGTTCAAATATCGGGTAGGTATAGCTTTATGTATTCAAAGGTATATGGTATATATATGTAATAATATATTTCTATATGTGTCAAGTTCTGAAGCTCTGCGAAAATCAATTGCGTCCAGCCATCGCCCCGCATCAGCAGTTGTACTCTTTTGTTTGTTCATATTAGATATAATTGAAATGTGCAATGTTGCGATAAATTCATCTATTTGACTCTTGGTTGGACCCTCTGGTTGCTCGTTCATTAATGTTTTATAATTTCGTAGTGTTGATTACGCCGCTAGTTCGTAATTGATGAAGGTGCACGCGTCACCGCGCGTTTCAAACGAGAAATTTCATTGGCAATAATTTAGTGAGAACTTTCGTATATAGTTTAAACCTAGTTCGTCATAATATATGTATACAAAGTTAAAGTTTAAAGTTTTCATTTGGTTGGTGTTTGTTTTCATCATTTTCACGCAGAATGGCAAGTCACACCGATAAAAGTGAAACCGGTTAAATTACATCAAATTGAGCATTATAAACACGTTTTTTTTTTGGTTTTGGTTTTGTATGTTTTAAATTAGTTTTCACACAGTGCTGTTCAATTTTTATTTTTTTCTTCCTCTCATTGCCGTTTCATCTTATCAGTGTTTCGCCACAAATTGCACATATTTGCCATCATTGTATTTCAAAATATATTCGATAATTTCCAAACAACGTTTGCAATATCGTAATATGCTAAAATCACATTTTTGTTCTTTATGTTTGCTTCCTTCTGTGTGTGTGTGTAAGGGCGGTACATATTCTTGTGTTGCCATAATGTATTACCATATTTTCGACGCTCGGCGCACCTCGCATTATGGAAATGTGTGAAAATTCGATAATGCGAGACGGATACCGATTCGGCGTACATATTTATCATCGCAAATTGATGTCAGCTTGGGAATCGCCCACCCGCTTCCTCTATTATAAATATGTGGGCTCAGATATTGATAATATAAATAAAGTGGACGAATTTGCAAGTTAAACATGGCGTGCCGAATTTGTACCTTTGCACGTGTTGCCAGTTGTGTGTGTGTGGTTTTTTTTTCAGTTTCCTTCTATTTCTAGTTGTGTCGTCAGTCGATGTTCCGGCACCCGAGTGGAATATTTAACTTGCAAATTGGCACTTGACGGGCGGACGAAATCCCATCGCGACATGCAAAAATCAGCCACGCGCGCACGAAAATCCACGAAAAGTTGGTATCTTTATGTCTTTCGCACGCTCGTGGCGTTTACACCTTTGGAAAAATACTGTGCCTTCCGCAATTAATTCCTATATACAGTTTTTTTTTTTATATTTACATTATTAGTCACAATTGATTCATTTTGAAATTCATAATATACATTATCTTAGCGTGTGTGTAATGTGTCGGTGAGTGGTGTGTGAGAGTTCATTAAATATTAAATTCGCGAATGTTGGACTTACATAATTACAATATTATTCAATTTGTTTAAAATTTAAGATCAAATCCTATATGCTTAATGCAGTTCAAATTTTGTTCATAATAAATTACGTTAACTAGAATGAAAACAACTGGAATTGCAAATTCTTACAACGTTTAAAAATGTCTTAATTTACAAATGTATAATATAGCATTTTATCTTCATTTTTATAATTTGCTCTTATTTACAGAATCCTTACGAGCTAATATTATGTTCAATTGTTTCATTGATAACACTATTAAATCTGCAGAATATGTATTTTGTTTGTTTGGTTACGGTAACATTGAGATAATATTGATTCGGAAATGCAAACGTCTTCGAATATTCCCCGAGTGGGATATACCTAGATATTGTTCAGAAATCATGCGTAATACTCTCACAGCGTTCAACATTAATACATTTTTAGGTCAGGATTTAAACAGTGTTATCGCGTTTACTCTCATTTATAGATTGTCATTTGAATATTTTTTGTTAAATTTAAGTTCGTTGCTAATTACATTACAATACGCGCGCCACACAGGGGCGGCAATCGTGTGGGAAACGTTCAGGTGCGTAATTAACAATTCAAAACCTAATTAGTCCACTGTTTGCCGTCACAAAGAGGCGGTTATAATTAGACATATTTAGAATTATCATTGATTGAATTATACTAGCGTAACAAAGTTATAATGGTTTGGAAAGTAAACCACCTCAACCCTTCCCACATCTTTTCATACGTTGGTTGGTTTCATACACAAAACACACACTCACACACGCATACGTATTATTTGCTAATCAATTAGTTACAAGTACGACGTCGGTATTGCCAAAATAGAGGATTTTATCTATGGATTAAACATTGCTATTTGATCAATTTCGGGGCATGGAGCGAATGTTTACAACTACAACTCAAAATTGGTAATACACGTTCGGATCTACAAACACTCGAACACGACAACTAAAGGTAAGTAAATAATGCGAGGAATGTCCAAAGTTTTTGAATGATATGGTCATAAAATACCTACGCAATTTCGCTCGTTTCTAACTACCTCAATAATCTACTACCACTATCGTAATTAATTTTATATTCCTCCATCCTGACTACATTTAATGATTGTTCGAATTGGAAGATTCTCAGAAAACTGGACGAGCAAAACGATTAACCACATTCCAAAACGAAGCCGATAGGAACTCAATATTCAAGATCATTTTATAACAAGTATATCGCGATAAAATTAATATACTCTCGGAAATATTCATATAAAGCTAAATTTAACCTGCTAACGAGGGAAACTTTCGTTGAAGCACAACAAATATTAAGTGAAATTAAGACGCGCGCGTCTTGACGCACAAAGCAAACTTTGGCGCGGAGATTAGTTCATTTTAAGGGACCGAACGAAGCTAATTAGCTCACCGGGGGTATAACTTTACCTAGCGCAAAATAATCTCAACGTAAAATTCACACTAGTTAATTAAATACGCGCCCTCAGAGAAGTCACTAGCAGTTCCTTATTATCATCTCAAAATATTAACAAAATCGAGTTAAAACGAAAACTTCGATAACGAAGTATATCACATGTCGTTACAGCTATGGCCGCACATCAGCGGCATCTATTCGTAGGTTTATCGATAAGGTACACGTTCATCATAAATATCTTCTCTTGCTGCTTAGCATAAAACGTATTTCATCTGTGTTTTGTGTTTTCAATAGGCGAAAATACCTTGTTGCTTATGTTTTATTACTTGCATCATCGATCGTCGCTTGTCTCTTATAAGTTAACGCTCGTAATGTAGGGTGTATTAAAGTTAAGTACACATAGTATATATTTTATCATTAAGTAATAAGGCATTCGAAAGAGAATTGAACGTATCGCTCCCGCATTTATTTGTTGCTTGAAATATGTTCACTGAGAGGTACCTCAATGTGTGTGAGTGAGTAAATATGTAGGTAGTACTCGCAAATAACGAAATTAAGTTTATTGCATCGCCGCTCACGCTCAAACCGGTCCTAAGTCCCCCGACGACATCTGATACCTTTCTTGGCCTAACAACAACAACATGATATTTACATGATTAGTTAATTAGGTTCACAAAATAAAATAAAATGTGTTTGAGAGCTTTTAGACTATAGATGGCGTTGCAATGCCATCTGGTAGGGGTCTAAGTAAGGCACGATTGATTTCCGGTGTTGGCATGCAGTTTAAAAGTAGGGATACTTACTTTCTAGGTAGGCGGCAAGCTCATGGTCCTCTGCTTGAATGGCAAGAAGACGCGGTGAGAGACCTTTGAGATCTGTGATGGTGAGTGAAGCCCCGCTGGCGATGAGCATGCAGCAGATGGCGCGGCACTTGTATTGCGCTGCTTTGTGAAGCGCGGTTTGACCAAGCGTTACGTCCCGCATGTCCACCAGAACACTAGGGGCCTGACTGAGGAGGTACCGCACTACTTCTTTTTGATCATAGCGGGCGGCGATGTGCAGCACGGTTTGACCACTGCCATCTTTTGAGAGCAGTGAATATCCTTGTGTATGTAATTCCTTAATCTGAAAATATTGTAATTTTTATTATTTATCTAGTTATTTATTGATATCGTACCGTTTGGAGATCGCCCACCTTGGCAGCCTTGAGCAACGCTTCACTAGGGCGGGCCACCATGCTTAAAAAGAATTGCAAAAGGTTGCTATTAAACGTCGTGAGATTATGTCCCTCCCACCCGCGGAGGAGCCGACAGACACAAACCATCCGAAGTGCTTACCTAATGCACGAGTATGAGTCCTGGGTGAGACCAAAAAGTCGATCAGTGATGCTGCATGCAAAGAGGTCACAAGCTTCAAATGAGACACTCGAAAAAGGTACAAAGGTAAATAGAGATCATTCCCGACATTCATTCAAAATTGAAAGGGACCGAGGCGGGTCTCATGTGGACATTATACATCATCAGTTTCACAGTAGAGCAATTCAAATAATTAACATATGGCTATAAATACTCGCATAGTATAAATGTTAAAGTGGTGATAAAAGTGAACATGTGATATCGTAAAAGTGTGCCAGCGAGGGTAATTAAGTTAAACGCTTTAAATTGAACCCCCCAGTGGTGCGATAAAAAAAGGAACATACAAAGGAAACAAGTTAGTGTATGTATAAGTAGAAAGTATGAAATAACAAACAAAAAACCATCGCGATTGCGATTGCCACAAGTATCGTTGGAGGTTAAAAAATGGAGAGATGTTCATTTAGATATGCAAATATATAGGTTGGCCTTACATATTCATATCGCAGGTGGGATACGTTTTTATTTATCTGCCATCGTACGAAAAAAGTGCTAACGACCAAATTATGTGGAGGTGAATGTATTACGTTTAATTAAAATCGGCAACAAAATTTTAAGGAAAACACAACATAACCTTACTTACCAGCCGTTGGCGTAAAAGTAAAGAGTATACGAATATAAAGCAATTCGAAACCTTAATGAAAAACAACTTTGTTTAATGAGGTTTATACTCAAAGGAGATGAAATTGTATATGGGATAGCATAGGAAGATATAAAATTATTCTGAGTATTTTTTTGTATGAGGATTGACGTCATTCGTTTTAGAATTCACTACTTACCAAGCAATAAATAAAAAAATCATAGTTTAAGAAAGTAATACAAAACTACTACTTGAAAATAAAAGTAGAGATATGCATAAAACCAAAATGGTTGGTGTGATGTGGGAAAATTATTAAAGTTCAGCAATAAGTATATATTTCTGGCTCAGTATCGAAACACACAAAATAATCAAGTCTCAAATGTCGATCAGCGGCTTGGTGTAAATGTAAGAGAGCGCCAGAACAATGTGAAAGTACCTTCGTATCTTCACGCCGGAAGTGCTGCGATCGCCATTTTGAATATTGGCGATTTCTTCCGGGCTCTGCATCACCTTCGGAGACATTGGTGGATGGTCACTGGGAGAGTCTAAACTACCTTCATCACTGTAAAACAATTCCACAAAATTATCACTAAAACTAATCACATTACTACAAAAATTGACCAAAACTGAAAAATAAACTAAAAAATAATATTTACATCGTCTATTAATATAAAACTCGGTGCAGGTGAAGGTTTTCGATAAAACTTAAAATGAAATAAAAACAAACCTATCGTAAACCCAAAGCACCAAGAATAAAACAAACAAAAAACAATAAAATGTAACAGAGTCAAAACTTAAACTTAGTGTCAAAATGTTAAAAAATCAAAAGATCAACAAAGAGTCATAGGTGCATCACAGTTTTATGCGGCGAAAGCGCGAGCGGGTTACCTGACGCGCATTTCTGGAATAACGTAGTGGTTGGAGCTGGGCGACGGTACTGCAGTATCGTCGTCGGTAGGCGTCGGTGGCAGAGCGTTCTCGCATTCCAAGATGTAGAGATTGTCGGTGGCGATGTCGGCGACATAGTGGAGGTTCTCCTGCGCACGATCAATGCGGAAGAAGCGCTCGGCAGTGCACGAGTCAACGAAACACCAATCCTTGAGTGGCTCACCGAGTAGTTTGTTGATCTGCACTCGTACCTGTTACAAGCACACATAATAACATACATAACCAAGAGCAGAATATGTAATTATTATAGAAATAATAAACTCAGTTAATGGGATCACCAGTGATTTAAGAGGTTATTATTGTTAGGATATAGGATAAGTGTGATTTTAACGCCGCCATTTTATCAGTGATAGAGTCCTGAACCATTAACCAGATTAAAGGAATATCATAAAAAGATAATGAAATTGATTATTATATGAATTTATGGTTATTGATATATTGGGATTGGGTATTACCTGTTCGAGATCTGCCGCTGGACTGACTTCAATTTGATCCACAGGTTGTGCTGCTTGTGATAGTAGTTCCTTGTCATAGTGATGTTGCTCATAGTCGGACATACAGATCCGATTCACGCTGAGTTTCATAGGTGTGATTTGGTCTGATTGCATCACAGCGGCTTTACCACCGCGGCGTTTCGCCAACATGGTGGCTTGGTTGAGCAGTGAGAGTTTTATGATGGATGGTGCTAGTTTGCATGCCTCACCATCAACCTGCATGGGTATCGTACGCGAGGTGACGATACGCGCTTGTCGACATTGGGTTATGCATGTTCCATGTCCACCTGCTTGTAAGAGAGGCTAGGAAACAAATAAAAATTATATTGAATCAGTTTGAAACTAATTTGGAGGTTATAATCACTTACCAATTGATATGTTGTTAAACCAACCACCTCGATAAGACCATCCTCTGTGGAAGGTTCAGACACACCCATGGAACGGTTCCATGGATGGGTACCACCACCGTAACTATAAAAAAATCAATATTTTATCATCATATGGTTGGGATAATGAGGAGGTACCTTGGAATGTTGAGAAACACCACAGCATGCACCTTCAGTTCCTTTAACTTGGGCGTAAGATCCTTTCCATCGCACTCCAATGTAACCAACTCCGCCAGACCTTTCCATTTCCGTTTAAGTAGATCTTTCCCACCCATTTGGCCATAAAACATTTTGTTACGTAGTCTTGAATTGAACTTCTCTGGATGGGCCTCTGTTTGATACCAACCAATACTTATACTTTCTATACTTAAACATAACCTATATTAACTTACCTCTAGCTTCATGAAACTCTAACGCAATATGCGCATCCACTCCTAGCGAGAAATAATTGTTGACCACATTCAGAGGAAGATTCTCTTTACCACCACCTTCATTTCCATCTCCTTCGGGGTTCTTCTCCACATCCAGACTCCACCGATCCAGTAACACGGTATCACTGTTGTGGACATTTGAGAGTATCTTGCTGATCGGCTCATCTGTGTAACCCCCACCCCAACCTAATGCTCTCGCTAGATCATTACCCGTGCCAAGAGGTAGAACCCCCACAGCTGGGCGTGGATTCATATTCAGTTGATCAATGACACTGAGCACCCAACCAACGGTACCATCACCACCACACGCCAACACACGAAGATTTGGCACCTTGCGGAACATCTCGACACCCATCCGCGGCCCACCCTGCGTCAAGTCAAACACCTGCCGTGGGTTGAGCAGCCATTGAAACTTCTGCAGCAGTTTCGCACCCTGATTGCCGCCCGATTTCGGATTTATAAATACTATCACAGGTCGCACGCTATTCGAAGGTATTGGCTTGAGAACGAACGTTTTGGGAGTTTCTTTTTCCTGTGATTAAATTAAAGCAAAGACTATAAATTCCAGCGCAAGTTGAGGAAACCATTTGATAATTACTTTTTCTTTATTGCGTCGTTTGCTTGACGATCGCTTCTTGGGAGATTTCCTCAGTGAGGATTTGAATGACCCCTTTCGAGGTAACTTTACAATCCACGACGGCGGTACAATAATGCCGGAATGCACGCCAAGTTTGCATTCCTCGCCGATGCGCTGAATGTCAAAGCAGGACTCTTTGTTGTGATACGCTGCTTTACACCACGAACAGCTTAGCGCGACGATCTCTTTATTGCTGAAGGATAACTTCGATTGAAACGACTGTAACAACATTAAGCACGTTCAACACAATGCGAATATTCTACACCAAATGGGATTCATCATTAATCAAGTTGAGGTGAAACGCATTTCTCATCAAGACGCGCTTGTCATGTCATGCTCACAATGCCGATTCATAGGAACTGCATTTGTACAGCCGAGAAGTTACGCTAACGACGCAAACCACCGCCTCGTAAAAGCATAAACATTGTTGCGAAACGCCTTCGGAAAGAGGAAAATAAACACGTGGCGTTCGCATTAAGCGTTCGGCTAAGTGGAATGTTGTATAAAGATGTAATGTGCGCCGCGGTGCGCCGTGCCGAAAGCCATTTGCTCCACAACACCACCAGTAGCGAACTTTTTATCGCGACCAAGGTGGCGGCTTCTTGCTGCGTGATGGATTATCAACTTTCACTTGGTTCTACCAGTACAACGTCGATTTACGTCGAGACTTTTAAAAGCACAACGCGTCGCATGACCTACCGGAAATGGCATGGCAAGTTTATAGTGCGTTGAGGTATATTAATTAAAATTCTTTTCAAAGCACATCAACAGCAAAAAATAAATTACGCAGAATTTCGTCAAAAGCGCGCAACCTTTTTATGTGTATTTGCGCGCTCGGGGATGTTAATCACTGGAAAATGTTTTAATCAACTGTTTAGTGCAACTTTGTCGTAAATTTACAAAGTTATGCATAATTTTACTGCAGACCCGCGGGCCTTGCATACACCGTAGTAAAATGCGGCAATAAAAAAGCAATTAATTAAAGAAATCTGCAACGGCCGCGAATGCCACCTAAAACTTCAACTCGACAAAATGAATTTAATGACGATAAACTAGACGCAGTTGATGATTTATGAATGTTTTATAACTGAAAACTGCTAAACGCACGCGAAGTACTCAAAGAAAAAGGTGGAAAACTCGCATGTTGTTATTCGAAAGTTGCGCAAAGTTTCAACATAAACACAACCACAACCTCTATATGTACATATTTATAATTCACGCTAGATATTGTCGGTAACTTTCAACATTCAACCGGGGTTTGGTTCGGTTCGGATTTTGTCGGCCGGCTGACGTCCGGGCAACGGATTAAAACATTGGTCAACGCGTCGAAATGGGTCCAAAGTTCTGGAAAATGTACGCACCGCAGCTTTGCAGTCCGCCAGCTTTCTATTCTATTTCGGGGATGAGTTGACTAGTCAGCAGCTGTTAAGGTCAAAGGTGAAACGAGCCTTGAAACCTTCCAGCTTGCGACCAAATCAAACGGCAAATAATTTAAGTGCAAATTGTACATACCTTGCCACATTTGCGACATTTCCCTTTCTCCGACCGTCGATGGACCCAGTGATGATGGATGCAGGTCTGTTCGCGGTATTGTCGTACACCAACATCACGAAACGTGGGCTTGCAGGTGAACTTCACCCGATCCACTAATATCGTAATGCAACTCTGGTGTGCCACAACATTACACGCGGAGCATTTCAGTCTTGGACCGTGTTTCTATCAACAGATTAACAGTCAGAAGACAAATGTTATATTATGCGTGGGAGACATGATCAAACAGTCCACTTTTGGCGACTGACAAGTTCAATGAGACGCTTAATATTTATATACGGAATTAGGGTCATAAATTATTCCTAAACATAATGGATGCCATAAGAAGAGATAGTGGTTTGTTCCTCGCATTGAAACAGGAAAGCATTAGTCTCTGCTAGTGTGTTTAGTTTCAAAGCTAGTGATGGAGTTCAAGTTAGTAGTTAAAAGCTAGAACTAGATCCGGAGACATTCTACATTCTACATGCTACCCAAAGGAAGCAATAAAAGCACTGCTAAAGGAAAGCTACGATTTGTACAAGGTTACGGTTTCGGGCTGCTTTCAACAGCTTGGAAAGTTTTAATGAAAGCAAAATATAGTAACTACCGAAGAAATATAAAAATGGAACATGTAGGGAAATGAAAATCACTGCTGACAAAGCCATGCAAGTTCCTAGAAGTCCTCATTTTCCTGTCAGTTCATTTCCCGTACCTCTACTATATGAATAAGTAATGTTGGACGAATCGATAAATAGTGCCGTTGTTGAATATGACCTATTATTCAACGCAATGCATCAACAAATATCTAGTGATAATATTAAATTAAATTGCAGGAAAATCCCAAAATAAATCTATGCAATACGTGTGCGGTGCGTGTGTATCAAATAAATAGTGGTGGGATTCAATCCCAACATGCAGATAAGTAGAAGCACTCACCGTGCAGTCGTTATCGCCCACATAACAGAAGTCCCCCGAGACGGAAGTAGGCACCCATAGGTGATCGCCGTTTATCGCGGCTTCTGCCCAGTCGGGCGTCGACCGGAGTGTGCGTTCGCCGCTGTCCGGAACGCTTTTCCTGCAAACAAACACAAAAGCGAACAATGCGTTAGTTTTCATCATACATGTACGAGTATGTAACCGTCAAGTGCTCGACAAACATTATACAACATCCAATAGAAAAATAATATTGAATTACAAATGATAGAAATATTAATTTATAATTGAACCAACCTAATATGCCTAACATATGTGTGATGTTTGTGCAATACACGACGTCTTGTCAACAAACGTTTTCTTTTTTCTATCGTGCTCATTTCCGCATTTCCACGAGCAACATATCTCGCCCACAAGTCTAACTCATCCAACTCACTAACACGTACTAAAGACTCTTGTAACTTCATATAGATTAATCACTATCACTATCACAAAATATATTAGTGAGTGTTTATCAACGATTGAATTTCACTGCTGCTCGTTTGAGTTGGCTTGAATGAATACTGGATGCAGGCGCGTTGCGAAGATGCAGCCGCGCTGTTTCCGCGGTGGCGGCGGTGGCAGCCGCTATATTTAGTTCCGTGTTTATAGAAACACGTGGCGCATCGCTTCCACAAACATGTGGGGTATCATACGCACACTTTAAGCTTCGCTCAACGTCAACGTGAGCAACAAACGATTTAGTAAAACGACACACGTGGCACTTCAAACACCAAACATCAAATTTAAAGAAAGCAGGATTTTTATCACTGGCGATCTAATCCTAACAAATAACATGATAACATTGAATGTGTGATTTTAATGGAACGCAAAGTGAACTATTGATTTCTTTTATATGCATTCCGTGCTCCAGCAGAGTATACGCGTATTTATTAGAAATACATATATATTGATTTTTCGTCCACTTGTAAAACTCGAGTTAGATGGAACTTGCTTTCGTAACACGACAAGCTCTCCAAGCGTCCGTCCCCGAAATTATCGTTGTGAACTAATTTCCTAGTGCGCGTCAACTGTAGTGCGTGTCAAATTTAAATTAAGAGCTTTTGGGCTTCGTGTCGCACGACGCTGCATTAATTTTAAGGGTAGAAGGTAAAACTTTTCATCTATTTTTAATTACTGTTCTATTATTATTAAATCAATGCACAGACACATCACAAAATTCAATTATTTGCTTTTTATTATTTTGTATTGATTTAGCTTCGATGAAATTTCAAACAGTAGAAAATAGAAATTTCCACAAATAATATTTATGCTAAGCATGTTGCCATCCTTCAACCATGTTTATTATTTGTGTCTAACGCTCCAACAAACCAACTGTTGCACATGGTTTTATTTTTACCGCAATAATATTTAATTCGCACATAGTAAAACCAAACACCCAAACACTATTAATCTCTCGACGTTTTGTGTCCGACACAAATTCGATAATAATGATTAGCATAGTATTTTGTTTGACGGCGCTTGAAAATCACTTCCGAGGTTCGCGTGCGTCGCACGGCACACTAAAACTGGTCAGCGACCACCACCGAGCGCAGCACCAAAGTGGTTATTAACGCATATCAATTCGCACCACAGCACCGCAGCCAACATTGTTTAACCATGCGGCTGAGTGAAAGGTGGTAACGATCGCTTCTCGAGCCCCACACACGACGCACGACACATCCTTCCTTACTCATAGCTTGGGGTTGGTTGTCGAGATGGATGCGTGGGCAACTTCCCAAAAACCAATACAAGGACATTACCTTTATATATGTGCGTCTATGTGTCATATCTATATTTTGAGATGAAGGTATCTTGCTCGGTTCTCGCTTCTGGGTTTGCTAATATCTACAAAACATGGCGTCTAGGTGAAGGTGAGTAGAAAAGCTAGCGCACGGGTGAGTCCGACGTTTCCGCGTGTTTTGTTAACGAGATACACATATCTGCCATGAGGCGGAAAAACCACTCGTGCGGGACTGTGTCGTTATTCGCCTTCTCTGTGTTAGCGCAAACACACATTTCAGCAAGTGGTTGTGTTAGTAACACTTGAATTGCGTTCATCGATTTTATTTAATATTAATAGAATGCGTTGCTAGCATCTAATTGTGATAAATTAATCATAATTGATCACGTAATAAAAAGTAACGCCATCTAGTAAAAAAAAGCCCCAAAGTAAGTAGTTTACATGTTATTGCCGATCCAATTAAGAGCGATTAGTTTACAGGTATTGAATTACAGAATTAATTAGTCCTGTATTCAATTGTTTATCCTGTAAACACACATTTCAAGAGTGTCAGTAATTACCCAAACATCATTCGAAGGTATTAAATGCCTCCCAGATTGGATGCAAAACAAGCAGACATCAAAAGAGCCGCCGAAGGTAAGAAAGGTACTCATGAGAATTTGAGCACCCGCAGTTATCGTAACACATACATGGGTGTAAGGGAAGAGCATCGTCCTGATCGTCCTGACGTACGCCGCGTATCGTGCGATAAACTTTATGGGGGTAATTATAATGCCAGCTATTAACAAGATTTAATTTGCTATTTGAGACGTCGAGACATCTCCACTCCACATACTTTAATCACATTACACTTTACAATATGCCACCTGAGTTGAGACCTGTCTGAAGAGGAGCGTGGCGAGAACAATAAGCACACGGTGGTGAGACAAAAACGTTATATGCTTAATCAATAATTTGGAACAACGAAAAATATGTTTAATTATTGAATGAATGATTGAATCTTAATATTAACTTTCAATTCCTAATTTCCTTCTTTTATGAGTCATTTTACCGGAAAAAAGTTGCTTATTTGCTTTTTCTTGATCAGAAATATGTCTATACCAAAATTCATCAACATTTGTTCAGTAGTTTTTGCTTGAAAGAGTCACAAACATACAAAAACTCATATTTTCCTCAATTTTCCCTTTTAAAAGATTTATTTTTATAAAAAATCTTTTTTCATGTCTATCTACATACTCCAACCAATTTCTCTACCAAAATTCATCAAAATTTATCGAGTGGTTTAAGTGTGAAGTGAAAACAAACAAACAAAATTCCTGTCACATTTGTAATATTACCAGCATGAATATAATTGCGTCAGTTTAATACTAACCATAATGATTATTAGAAATAAGCCAGTATTAGAGTTCGTAATAGCAATTTATCCCGAAGTCTTATCATTGTGACTAATACCTAATACCAACGCATTTAACTGGCGTTAGCCGGTGAGCCGCCAACAAAACTTCATTACGCCTACTCATGTATACGTAAATTACAATAGTTTTGACATGCGAGGAGAGTTTGACGCGGTTCAACGTAAATAAACTCGCGCGCGCACAACAAGCACCCCCCTGCAGCTAATACCGCTGAATTGTTCTCGTTCTCGCATGCTCGACGCGTCCACTTTCAAGTTTCACCCGTTTCACCCGCGTGTTATAATTTTAACTCGCTTTATTGCGACTATTCCGGAAGGAAGCCATGAAATTGTTCAGCGCTCAAACACTCACGCACAGAGCATTTGTGACGCGAGTGCCTTCTTTCTGCCTGTAGGTGGAAAGTGCAAAGACCAAAGAAGCAGCAATGAACCCAGAGGGTGGATAAGAGCGCCTCAAGTACATACTTCGTTTAAGTTTTGCTTGTTAAATCGTTACGCGAAATGTTACATTCGCTTGTGCGCAACTTGGAAGGCACTGAAGTGATATGAAAGTTAAATCGATATTTAGGTGAAATTAAATGCTGTTCTTTTGTTACCATGGTTGTGTTGTTGCATGACTAACACAACATTTATATAATAAGCTTAAAATATCATTAGTTTTGGGCTGTAGACTAATATTTCATCGTGATTTACAACCGTTGAGTAACCGGGATGATTTCGTTTAATTTTACGATGTTTGCCGCTGCTTGCCTACTTATGATGCAACTTCCAAATCCGCAATAAAACATCCTTCGGCGCGCCTGAAAGAAGAATTCTCGATAAATGTCGATGCGTGCGGAATTTTTAATATCGCCGGCGACAATCCGGGCTGAAATATCACCCATCGAATGAGTGTGATTCGCATTCGTAAATGAATCCCCGCCGCGTCGTGGGACCAAAGGAGCAAAGGGAGCTAAAGGGCGCACGCACGCACGAAGGGAGTTTTTCGGCTTTTTAGTGAAGATAGACGGGTCGCGCGCGTGTGTGTTGAGTCAATAATGTAAATCGCGCTTGGGGGGCGCAAAGCGAGCGCCTTAGAAATCGGAGAAGTGGGTGATAATGAATATTCACATATCGGGCCACCCGGTGCGCCAGAGTGGCGTTATCTGCACGCCGTGTGACGCCCGTACCCAAACCCAACGCGAATGATAAGTGCCGAACTCAGCCGGCGGCGAAACCTGTGTGGGCACAATGAAAAACTGCGCAGCGGTGCGAATACTCAAATACTCGAATGGAAATTTGTAAAATCGGCCGGAAGTCTGCGTTTGTTCTCACAATTCTGCGGATTTATTATTTAAATTGAATATTTAGGTTGTAACCGACCCCGGTGTTAAATGGTATAAATGTATGTGAAAGTATTATGTGAAGGCGCCGGGCTAACATACAACATATACAATATATGTAGAATAAACACGTTAATATCGTTTAGCGGCACACAGCGCCCAATAGACGCAGTTTTCATCTCGTCAAAATGTCAAGAAATCGGTAGATCAAACGATGAATAATTCAGCACGTCTCATCGATTAGACGAACAAGTTATTTATGAACTGCTTTCGGCAGATTCAGCTTTCAGTTAAGCATATTCCCCAGCAAAAGAGAATGTCAGACGTGGTGGTTTACCAAAATATGCAACTCTCAGCATTCAGAACAGAATAGTAAATTTATAATTGTAAATTAATCGCCTGTCAAAAACATTCCAGTCGATATAATTACAGAGAAATTGATTTTGGTGTTCCAAAAATTTAACATAGAAAATAAATTTATGGCAAAGATGTGATTTTGGAAATAAATTACTAGACTTGAATAAGACCTGGAACCTGATTGGTGTAATTTAAGTTTCCGCTCGAGGCGAAAACTTCGCTGCGACTAAATTGCGTTTGTCATTGAACTCTGCTAATGCCCAAATGCATCGAGTAGGGAGACGCCCGAAGAAATGTCGCACGTATTCTTATCGGCAACAAGTCAATTTGGCAAATCACCGTCGTACAGACGACGAATTGGCCAATTTATATAAGGAATAGTTCAATTACTATCGACGCAAATAGCGCGCAGCGCATGAGTTATACCGACATAAATATAAATTGCAGTGAGAAACGTTTTAAGGAACAAAAACAGGAAATAAACGAAAATAAAAATTAGTTGAGTTAAAATATATTTTTAATATGTAACATATCATGCAGACATACCCTCTAGCTGTATACTGGGTGGAGGTACCAGGTGGCGCTGCCATAGCAAGCGCCTTGTACCTTGCTTGTTCATCTGTAGGCAACACGATGTCAACTGATCTAGACCGTAGTGCAACATTTGGTCCAACAGGTACCTCCAGACTAACACCTGAATGTTGTAATTCTTCAGTCTTTTGTTGTGAGACCTTTGAAAAACACGAATCGACTGAAGCAGCGCGATCACGTCTTAAGTCGGGTACTTGAAGATAAATGTCTCGTACAACCAACCCGCCAGGTATTGTAATTGGATCTCCTTCAGACATCGCACCATCTGACGTGGCATCAGATGGTACCTCCGATGTTGCCCCGTCTGATACATTTTCTAATGAATTACCGCTTGGATCAGCAACAAATGCCTCCTGCCTTTGTATAGATTTACGACGCTCACGCGTCGGGGGCGGCATCTCATCCGGTGGAAAACATTCTATGGTAGGAGATGTTGGTAAAGGTGGTGGTGACCTGGGCGGTGAAGGTACCGTCGGACTTAGAGTCACTGTTATTGCACATTCTGGCATTGGTTGTTCCTCAGAGGAAGATTGTGTTTGTGTTCGACTAATTGCTGGTTCAGGTTCATCATCACTGGAGGTAGTGTCATCGCTGATGCTTATTGAACTACCTTTATCTGCAGTGTCTGTTGCTTCCTCTGCTGCACGTTGTTTGTTGTATTCCTCCACGCATAAACAATGGACGCAGTACGGCGTTTTGGATCCAGAGGATCGCCGTCGTTGGAAACGACGTGGTACCTCCAGGAAGTTACCGCTTTCATCACTGGATGCACCCGAGTCAACACTGCGTGACCGTTGTCCAGGAAACTGCGGCACGTGCAGCAGCGATCCGGCTTCGCCCTGCTGGGCGTGTAACCGCTGCGCCTCCAGTTGGATCTCATCGAAGGAGGCGCTGCGCACCTGCTTGGGCACCTCGAGGCTACTCTGGGTTTTCATCTCGGCGCCGGTGGGTGTGCGCGACCGCTTGAACGTGGTGCGGAGTTTGTTCATTGCTCGGGTCGACCTGTGGCCGGCCGCCAAAGCTCGACACTCATTCTGCAACTGAACGGTAACGCGTTTCATTTACACGCTGGCCTCTCATGTTGTGTTATAATTAAACCCGGTCATGCAGGTTGCGTAATGAGAGGCAGATCCGCAAGCCTTAATTAAAACAAAAATAATCCGACAGGTACATAGACACTTGTAATAATAAAAAATTTGCATAAGTGTCGGTAACATGCGTTCATTCATTCGTACCAGCAGGCATACAACATTAAAATAAACATGATTTGGCTTTCAGCAATTTTATTCATCGAAGAGATGTCTAAACATAACACAACAGACCGTAAATAAAAAAATTCAGAAATTTCAGTCAATTATTTATATTACGAAACCAAAGTAGGCAACCAAATTTACAAAATCCGTGAAATACAGCCTGAAATGCATTTTTTAAAAGATTTTAAAATAATTTCAATAGAATCATGATGAATAAACGTAAAAATATTCAATTTAATTAATTATTTCTTATCTGTACTTAAGCACAAACAAATTTAAATATTTTCCACTTAAATTAATCTTAAGATTCTTCTCCCCATTCTTTTTTTGTTCCTTGTGAAATGGTCATTGGAAAGACCGTTACGCCAGCTTACGAATTCATAAAGCATAAAGACATAAATACGTTAATGCCGTAAGAAAGCGTCGAAGCAGCATTTTTTCCATGCAAATGCGACGTTGCTATAAGAGCCGGATTAAAATCGGTTGCAATTTGCTACATCAAAGAATCCAATTATGCGGAGCAGCATAAAACTGGCGCTTCGTTGAGGTCGTCCGCCGACGCATTATCCCTCCACTGAGGACGACGTAGACATAGGCGCCACTGACGTGCAATGCAAATATCATCGCAGTCACTATCGTAAACTTTTTGTGCCTAATCAAATTCGCAAGCGACAAATCAGCAAAAAATAAACACGCTTATCTAAACGTTCTTCTATCGCCTCTTCATGACTTCCCAAAATAAAAATATATAAATATTGTGGCAGAAGGATAAGACGAAGTGAAACCTAATTAGGAATCAATTCGCTGCACCCGAAAAGCGACTGCCTGAATTAGAAGTTATAAATAAAGACGCAAACTTTGCGCTTTGCAAACGGAAACTGGTTGGATTCGAGAGCCACACGATACAAGACTGTCGAGCCGACAACCTTTTCCAGACGAATCTTGGGCCAAATTGAGGCTATATCTAGCGCAGCAATCTACGACTTATCTATACAATCAACTTGCGAAATATTATCTTCTTAACGATAAGTTTTCCAGGAAATAAATTTATCTAGAAGAAGGCAAAAATCATAGGAATTTGATTAATATTATGATTGCGATTGTTTGTATCGCTTTCACATAAAAAACAGCGGACTCATTTTTATACAGTTTGGTATAGAGATATGTCTACCCTTGTAAAATACAATAGCTGGCAGAGTGTGAAATCTATAATATAAAAATGAATCGCAAAATATGTTGGTATGCGCATAATTCAACAACGCATCGACAAATTTGGCCAATTCTTTTTTAAAATGTTCGTTAAAGTCCAAGGATGGTTTTTGCGGTGAAAAAAAATTAATAATTGCCGGGAAAACCATAAAGACAGCCCTTTTCTATAGAATAAAAGTTGGCATTGAGATTCATTCATAGTTATAGTTAAATAGTTGAATCCGAGATGGCGCGCTGTAGTGCATTATTAGCAATTCTTATATAATTAATTTCTTTAAAATAAAATTGCGAATCTTATTGATAGAATTGACACATACTATGTCTAGAACAAGAGAGTAAATATGAATTACATTTTTATTAAATACAACCGGGACGAAGTCGCGGACAAAAGCTAATAATTTAATAAAAAAGTTCAATTTCAAACCGAATTTATTGTGATTGCAAATACAATATTAAAAAATCCATTAAACTTTTTTGCAATTTACATCTGAAAATATTAAATTAAAGTGCGTGAGTGCAAGTCATGTCGTGGTACTTTTAATCAAACTTTATCAATTTCGTCCATTGCGAAAAACCACACGGAAAGCAAACGTCCCACGGGTGGAATATTTGCGCACAACCGCATATTATTCATTTCTATCGACATATTGCAGCCACTTCAATCCTCAAAAAGTACCACAAAAAAAATTGAATGAATCAGAGCATTAAAAAACTTGCCCGCAGAAATTGCGGCAAGGAAGCAGTAAAATATAATTTAAAAATAAATTTCCAACTTCAACGATTTCATTTCAGGAATGCAAATCCTTCACAACTTGTTGAATTAAAATTTATTTTTAATATTAAACATCAAAATGGCATATCGCATACGGAATTATAATTGCAATAAAATTTGAACGTTTATTAAATTTATTTATAATAAAAATTTATTCGCCGAAAAATAATATTTTATTATTGCTAAAAATAAGAAAATAATGTGCTGTTATTGCTTGTTTGTTAAACTCCAGAAGTTATTTCATTGTTTCAATTTACTACATACAATCCACACTAAAATGAAGCTAAAAGCTTTTTTTATGGAACAACTCTCAACTTGAGACGACTACTCTTGTAACAAACGACAAAACTACAAATGTCGCAGCACTTTCATGCTTGGTAAAACTTTTCTCAGCGCTTGGCAGACGCTGATCTAATTATAACATTTATTTATCTAAACGTTTTGCAGCTCGTGCTGTGTAGCTTCGTGCGGAGGCGCCGGGCAATGCGGTAAAACAACATGATCGCTTTCAACTTCGCTTATTTACTATTATTGCACTGTCGACGTTTGCCATTCGAGTACTGGAAACAACTTAATAGAAATGTAAGAAGTTGGCGGCGTAAAAAGCGAACAACTCGCAACTTGTCACAAAATGTTTTTATTGCAAAAAAAATAAAGAAAATGCAAAGAATCGTGTTTCTAGCTTCTCACATATTTATTTTTTATGGTAGATAATATTTAAGCAGTAGAAAGTTACTTTTGAAGTGCCCCATAAGTTACACAAATTGTTGTAAGTAACTTTCGCATTAAAAAAAAAATAAAAGAAAAAAGTTTCGAAACCTTTTTTAAACGCTTTTCAACTTTTTAATTTACTTAGATTAATTTCACGTTTCGTGTAGGTAATAGATCATTAAAACTTTTCTAATTTCGTGGCAGGTTAAATCAGTTATCAATTTTTAAAATAACTCGTTAAAGCGCTAACAAATTGACAACATGTTAGTAATTTTAAATTACAAGGAGAATAAATAATTTAATTACACTGGTTCAGCCACCGAAATAACCGGATATTATGAAATACATAATTAATTGTGTGGTAAAGCGTTAATTGAACACAAATTGCTGCGTTTAATCCAATCATTTGTTGCATTTAATTATCAATCAATAATTAAATTAAATTAAATTAGATTTGTGTGCGTTCGTTATCGATTAGGTATAAAATAATAATAATAATAATACATAATGATTTAATTATTAAAGACAATATCAGCGCTATTAACAAGTTTAAGCTTTGAGTTCATCCGCTTAGGATATTTCCAGCTTGGAAATCTGTTAATGCAGATAATCCTACACGCGTAGCAGCTTACCAAAAAGGGCGGCAGCTTTTCGTGGGTCATAGTGTCCGAAAGTAGTTGTTCTTTCAACCCTTCTTAGCATTCGCTTCACGTGCGGCAAACGCACCGGGCGACGCGTGCAGCCGCTTTAATACGAGGTAATTGTTTCTTCGTGCTGGACTTTTTCCAGTCGACTAACTTTACTTTACAATTTGTTCGTCAAGAAGGCAAAAAACACACAGCACGCTTTTGTTGGGTCAGTGCAGTGCGCTAGATTAAACCCTACTCAAAGTTCAATGCTCTCGTGTATAAGTTTTTTATAATGGAAAAAACCTAGAATTAATTTGAAGTTAAATTAAACTCCAGCAAAGTTAAAATGTTATTTAAATACATTTTGTACGGCTTGATATAGTGTGGAGGCGCCGGGCGTGAAGGGTTTCAACGGCTTTTAGCTACTACCAAACCTTTTTTCCTCTCTCCTATGACGTCACGCGACGCCGTGCAATAAACTCGGTGGAATATGAACGCGTCGACAAAAACGACGTACGTCTAAAAAGCAAACGCTAAACTTAAAGCTCTCCACGACTTAAACAAACTTAAAGTTGAAACTTTTCAGGCGTGTATACTTCAAATACACAATATATTTGTATTGATTTATGTCTTTATTGTACGCATATGTGTTTTCCTTTGACATTACCTGATTTTGCTTCGGTTAACTGCACTCAGCAATCAGCAACGTCTAACAAACCACTTCAACATCTCTCTGAGCTTTCGCCTCGTCGCTTTGGAAGTACTAACTTTGAATCGTGCATCTAAATCCGTTTGCTTGGACTTTACTCATTTCCCTATTTGGTTTTGAGGGTAACTTGGTAACTTGAGACATCTTCTGTTCTGCGGTTTCCATCTTCGTCGCAATGTTTGATGTCGAATGCGCATAGTTGATTTTAGGTGCCAGTGCTAATTTGGTCGGTTTTGTTTGACCAGATAATCTCACCACCCACAACGTACACCATCCTATCTGAATTTAAAGTCTGTGTGAGTTTGTATACGTATATTATAAGCCATTTTCAATGGAAGAGACACACGAAAAGATTGCACGCGCGCCGGAATAACATGAATAAGCTGAGCCATATCGTCAACACACGCTGCGGCTTAGGTGAATGCTTCACCGCAAGTAAAAGTAGACGCGGAAGCACTCTAAGTTTACAGGACGCACGAAGGCGGAACTGAGGAAAGGCTTTATCGAATGGCGGTAACAAATGACACGTGTACGTTGTATACATGGACGACGCGTATAGGAAAAGTGGAGGAAGGATTTTGTCCGCTTTCAATTTGTATCGCTATCAAACCTCAGCTGACACGTCCTAAGATGAAACTATTTTTCAACCAGCGAAACTTTTATTCCTTTTTACCTAAAAGGTAATATTAATTTCAACGTAAATACAGTCTGGAGTATTTTCTTTGAAAACTGAAAGTAGATATTTTCCTGGTTTCGA